AATCACCCGTAGGCCTCGTTTCCGTTCGCCAACCGGCAGCGAGAGCGGGTCTGTGGGCGGGAGGCCACAGCAGCTGTCAGGCTAAAGTCCGACGAGCTACGCGCGGCTGGCCGCCAGGAGGAAACGCGGCGCCCGGCCGGGCCCTGGAGATGGTCCCCGGCGCCGCGGGCTGGTGTTGTCTCGTGCTCTGGCTCCCCGCGTGCCTCGCGGCCCACGGTGAGCGGCAACGGGCGGGGCTGTGCAGCGGGGTGGGGCTGGCCGTCCAGCTTGCGTGCTTCTCGGGCCGGGGGCCACGGGTCACCTTGGGGACCCCGCAAGTTCGGAAAGGGGAAGGTCCGGGGTCGGGCAACCAGAGTGAGGGGGCCCTTGTCCCCGGGGACAGGAGCTGGGCGCTAGGCTCGGAGCCTTCCGCTCCCCACACCAAAGCAGATCCCCTCAACACGCCCCCGCCCTCACCCTCTCCCCTAGGCTGGCGCCGACCCAGGCGACTTAGGGCGCGACCAGGAGGCACGGAGGACAGCTAGCGATGCTGCAAGCTGGAAATATGTGAGCAATCACATACAGAGACAGGGCCACACATTGCTGCACGTGGACTCACGCCCACACACTGTCCATCCGTAGCGACACAACATGTACGCCTGTACACAAACGTGAGCACACACCGATATCCCACGGTTTACTCCGACAAGCGCATTCAAAGGCCGAGCAGGGGTGTGCGTGCGGAGGGGGTGTTTAACACTAGCCTAGAAAGGTTTCCTGAGGGTGTATCCACTCCCAGGACAAAAGGCTCCAGGGCCCAGGAGTAGGTCAGTGCCTGGGTAGTGGACTGGGACAGCTGAAATCACAGCCGCAACCCTGGCGCATAGTTTGTTGACTGGCTAATAGATCTGTGGCAGCCACTTCCATCCTCAACATTGCTTAGTCCCTCTGGGCTAAGACAACCAGGGACTCAAGTCCAAGTAAAACATTAAACTGATGCTGAAGAGGAATTCCCATATCCCAGGAAAACCTGGTTATTCCAGCAATTCTCCTGCTCAGTGCAGTGCAGCTGGACGTAGCTGTTTATTCAACAAGCTTGAGCACCTACTATATCCTAGATACTAAACAAGGCACTAGGGATTCACCACTGACTGAAGCTACAAATTTGCCATCCTTGCCCTGGTGGAGGAGGCAAACATTAAAATACTGTGGATCCTGTAAAAACGGTATTACAAATGACAGTGAACGCATCAGCTGAAAAAACGCACATTTTGGATGAGCAGAGGGAAGGGCAATCATGAGGCCGATTTCTCTGAGAAAATATCACCGGGGCCAGTGTTGTGGCATAGCAGGTTAAGCCGCTGCTTGCAATGCCGACATCCCATACCTGTGTGCCAGTCTGAGGCCTGTCTCTGCTCTGCTTCTCATCCAGCTCCCTGTTAATGTGCCTGGGAAGGCAGCAGAACATGGCCCAAGTGCTTGAACACTGCCACCCATGTGGGCAACCAGGATGGAGTTCCTGGGTCCTGGTTTCAGCCTGGCCCAGACCTGGCTGCTGTAGCCATTTGGGGAGTAAGTTAGTGGATGGAAGACTCTCCCCCAACTCCTGCCTTGCTCTTTCAAAGAAATAATCTTTAAATATATATATTTATCTATTGATATATAAATACTTCTGTAATATTTATTGTGTATTATATTTATGGTACATATTTAAAGAGGAAAATGACATGTAAGGTCTGTCTGAAGGGCAGTAGGAGTGAGCCAGGTGAGGAATGTGGGAGTGTGAATTCAGTGTGAATAGGGAGCCTTCCACACAGAGGGAAGGGCTTGCAGGAAGATCTGGAGAACTAGTATGGACCAGCATGGCTTGAACATACATGACGCTGGGGCAGTGGCCAGGGGCAGGTGGGCCACACTGAAAAGTTTAGATTGTAAATGCAGGGACGTCACTAACTGCTAAGCTGTTCTAAGATCCCTGGTGGTTGTCAGGGGACTAGACCTGAGGGAGTAAGCATGCAGCCAGGTAGGCCAGTTAAGCATCTGGAATAGTCAGGACGAGATGACAGTGACTCAGCTGGGGTACAGCAGTGGGACCAGAGGGTTTTATGTGAGAAGCAGAGAGACAGTCTCAGCTGGAGCGAGGCTAGGCTGAAGCCGGGAGCCGTGAACTCAGTCTGCGTCTCCCATGCGGGTGGCTGGGACTTGAGTACTTGAGCCATCACTGCCTCCCCGCATCTGGCATCTGCATGTGTGGGAAGCTGGACTCCTGAGCCAGAGGCAGGACTTGAATCCAGTACTCTGACATGGGATGTGGGAGTCCTACCCACTAAGCCAAATGCCTGCCCCTAGTGACAGTATCTCCACCCTGAAACTCCCAGGCCCATGCCAGAACCAAGACGGATTAACCCCATGGCTGTCTTCCTGGCTCACCTGAGTAAGCAGCAGCAGCAGCAGCAGATACAAAGCTGTGGGGTTACTAAAGCTGTTAACTCTGTCCTCCCGAGGCAAAAACCATCTAGTCCACTTCCCTGGTGGGGAAGGGAGGGGGGCAACCAGTTCTAACCAGCCCAGAGGAAGAGACAGAGCCCAAGCTGGGAAGCTGCACAAGCTTGTTCCTGGGAGGCTGTTCATCTGTGCTCTCTACCCCTCAGGCTTCCGCGTCCATGACTATTTGTACTTCCAAGTGCTGAGTCCTGGGGACATCCGATACATCTTCACAGCCACGCCTGCCAAGGACTTTGGTGGTATCTTTGTACGTTCAGTGAAGCCGGGTCTGTGATCCTCAGCCTCCCCCTTGCCTTGCTCTCATCCCACCTGAGTGCTGGGACAGGGGAGGGAGCAGAACGCAGCTCTGACCCCAGGAGCTGCAGTGCAGAAAGGAAGCACTTCAACTACTCCCCTAACACAGACCCAGGCGCCTTGCGGGGCAAACTGGCACTGGGGGCTGTGAAATAGTGAAAAGGGCACTAGCTTTCACTGCCTGCTCTACCTCTGCGCTAAGCCTCGAGGCAACTGACTTCCCCTCCTCGGGTCTGGGCCTGCAGCCAATTCCCCTACTTACCTCACAGAGAGGCTGGGTGAGGCAGCACAACCAGACAGGCCTGGGTGAGAATTAAGTATAAATGCACAAGTGCCTGGCAACACAAACTCCTGCCCATTTCCTCCGCCCCTTATGAGGTGCCTATAAAGACGGCATGGTCCGCCCAGCCCTCGAGCAGCCATGCTTCCTACGCTCACCTGTCCAAACGTCTTACTTTTCAGCACACAAGGTATGAGCAGATTCACCTTGTCCCTGCTGAACCTCCAGAGGCCTGTGGCGAGCTCAACAACGGTTTCTTCATCCAGGATCAGATCGCTTTGGTGGAGAGGGGGTAAGGAGCGGGCAGGCGTGGGGCAGATTCTGGCATGCTCGTCACTGGTGGTGCTTTGAAATAGCTGCTTTTGAATCCATCATTTTAACGGCTTTTAAGAACTACCTTAAGGTTACCCATGCTTTCAGCCATTTACTTATGAGCTTTGGTAACGAATGCTTCACAGTCCTCCTTCCACCCTCCCGGGGAGTTGGCCTAGGGCAGGGGCAGCCCCCTTCCTCTGGGTTTCATCGTCACCTCTTCCAGGGGCTGCTCCTTCCTCTCCAAGACCCGGGTGGTGCAGGAGCACGGTGGACGGGCCGTGATCATCTCTGACAACGCAGTGGACAATGACAGCTTCTACGTGGAGATGATCCAGGACAGTACCCAGCGCACGGCTGACATCCCGGCCCTTTTCCTGCTTGGCCGAGATGGGTGAGGGCTCCTTGTTTGTGGCTTTATCAGCACCAACTGAGGTGCTGTGACTCAGGGAGGTCAAGGGTCATTACCAGACCCTTCCCACAGGCTTCATCTTGGGGTGCCTCAGTTGGAAGGCAAAACGTTCCTGGGCTCTCAAATTCCCAGTGACGGGGACAGTGGGGCATGTTGGGTTGCCAAGAAAGTGACCACCACCACCTCTCTTCACGCCCTCCCAGCTACATGATCCGCCGCTCCCTGGAACAGCACGGGCTGCCATGGGCCATCATTTCCATCCCAGTCAATGTCACCAGCATCCCCACCTTTGAGCTGCTGCAACCGCCCTGGACCTTCTGGTAGAAGAGTTGGGTCCCACATTCCAGCTCCAAGAGACTCTGGGCTGGGAAGGGGAAACTCTGGGATTCTGCTATTTCCAATTTGGGAAGACCATCTGGGGACAGTGGAGCCAATTAGAAGAAAATGGGCTTGGCCTTGGTGAGGCTGAGGGAGGGAAGCCAAACCACTGGCATTCCCTTCCACGGGGCCAAGGATGTCTCATGCTACAGGAAGTGGCAAGAGCCAGGCCCCAAGGCTTCTGGCTAGAATCTGGACCAAAAGGAGCTGAAGGCAGGAGGCCTGAGAGCCGTCTATGTGACCTGTCACATGCCACCTGGCTCCAACCCCTGCTTCCCCAACCCAGGGTCTCCCCACAATGACCTTCCCAGCAGTCGCTGGAGTGATTTAAGGAACTGGTATTTGGGGGCTCAATAAACCCTCACTGACTTTTTAGCAATAAAGCTGCCTCATTGGGGTTGCAAGTGTGTCCTAGAATAAGAGCATGTGAGTGGGAGGGCCTTCACACTTACTCAGCTGGAGCCATACCAGCATTTTGAGGAAAGAGAACAGGCCAAGAGGAAAAGGACTTGTCCAAGTCACTTCAGGACCAGTGCTCAAACTGCTGGTCTCAGACCCCAACACTGCCTCCTGTGCAAGAGCTGAGGAAGCTGTATTCAGCTCCCCGGGGAGCACTCAGCCTGTAGCCTGGGACTGGGGACCCAAAAGGGAGCTCTGTAGTCCCTTGGCTGTGGGCACAGGGATACTTGCATGGCAGAATGTAGGTGAGACAAGAGATGAGCTCCCATCTCCCACCACTGCCTGGTATAACCTGTGCCTCTGCATCCCCTCCCTTCCCCCATGACTGCTGCATGCCCTGGACAGCCTGTCCAGCCATTCTGCACAAAGCGTTCCTGCAGAGGCCTGTCACCACTCACACTTTATTGAGAACAGTGGGCAGGCGGGGCGGAGGGGGCTGGCTGCTGTGAAGGAATAAGGACCCGAAAGGTAAGGTGCCAGCTAGGCAGGCTCCCCTTGGCTCCATGACCCAGGGAACGGCCTGTGGGGTGGGCACCTACCCTCCTTGGGATCCCTCAAGCAAGGGGATGTGGCAAGCTTCTCTGGGCAGGTAGGCAGGAAGGAATTAGGAGTGAGGGTTGCAGTTTTCACAGCAGCCAACCAAGGGGAGTGCTCCCGTGAGGCAAGGAAGGACACAGTTGGGGACAGTCACCAAGGATCCAGCCCAGCTCCTCTGGGTTTCTGGAAGACTTCAGTGTTCCTCTATAGAGGCCCTAAAGATGGAGACCTGGGCCAGGCAAACCCTCCCGTGACCCACCTTCACTGCTCTAGGAGAGGAGGGATCTGAGGTAAAGGAGCACAAGCCTGTCACTCCCCCAGGCTCAGCCGTGCTGCTTGAATCCCTGGTGGGAAGGGGATGTAAGAAAGGATGGCACTCCCACATACACCCCTCCTGAAGAAGGCAGAGGCCTCTCCATACCCCATGGCGCCAGCCATTGTGCCAGGGCCTGAAAGGCAAAGCACGAGGTACAGGGATCCTGGAGTCTAGGGAAGGGGTTAATCGCTTCCTGACGCGTCCACGGAGCCAGGGATTGGGAGGATGGAGGGAAGCCTCCAGGTCCACCTTCCCCAGCAGAGAGCCTAAGGGTGGGTGCTCTGGAGGCCCAGTGCTTCTTGCCTCTCCCCACTGGGCTAGTGGTCAGGCAGTTGCCTCATCGGCTAAAGCCATGGCCAGTGGAGGTAAGGAAGAAGGTAAGGGCACCTCACCGCCTCCCCTGTCTGCTTCAGTGAAATCAGTCTCTCTCAGATTTGCCACTGTTAGCCCCTCAAAAGCGATCAACAGCAAGAGAGGAGAGCAGAGCAGAGCAGCTTCAGGTGGATGGCAAGCGTGGGCCAAGGGCCATAGGGAAGAAACGGTTAGGCCCCGATCCTAGTTCCAGCCCCACACCCTAGGGTAGAATAACCCAGGGGCAGGCCTAAAAGGCTCAGTGACAGCACAGGGCCTGAGCCAACTCAGCAGCAGTGTCCAGGGCGTGTGTTCTGATGAGGGTGGGAGGCCTGGGGTCCAGCCTCAGTGCTACCCTCTGGCAGACAGAGCTGAAGGGGAAAGCAGGCAACAGGAGCGGGGAGTTCCTTCCACTGAGGAAAGGGTCCCCTTTCTTTGCAGGGTCTGGACAGGACCACATCACACATCAGTCATCTCATCCCCGAGCTCTGCATCTTCTGGCTCTCCTTCTTCCTCTTCTTCCTCTTCCTCTTCTTCCTCTTCCTCCTCTGAGGTTACATTGGGTTCATCAGCCTCTGCCAGGCATTTGGGGCAGGAACAGACAAACAGATAGTTCTCCCTAAAGGAGTAGGGGGATGGCAAGAGTGAAAAGTCAGGCAGACACTGGGATGGAGGGCCCCAGAGCCCGGCAGCCCAACCACACCCTTAGCTGGCACCTGAGGATCTTGTGGCGGCTGTGGCGGCTGCGCTCTCGCTGACAGCAGTCTAAGTAGCTGATACAGATTTCCTGCAGGCAGAGGAGAGATGGGGTCTGATGCTCTGTGCTCTATGAGATGGAAGAAGGAGCTCCCCAGCAGCTGCCCTGTCTTCAACCACTGCCCCATCCCCAGGAGCTAGGCCTGAGCAGCCCTGAGATGCAGAGGAGACTGGTCAGCCTGAGGCCATGGTGAAAGCTCATCAATGGTCAAGGTCTATGGCTGACATCAGAGGTTATCCTATGTGATGCTACGTGCTCCGGAAGAAGATTCAACCAGGCTCTGTGCACTGCATTCTCTGCCCAGACGCCAACTCTGTATCAGAACTCTATGGCCCAAGCCACGGGTATCTTCTGCTTTCTTAAAAGTTCCAGATCCGTTGTTTCAAAGGTGGCTGGGGACAAGAATCTGGCCACACAGCTGTCCCTCAAACACTGCTCAGATTTTCTGGAATTTTTTTTTTAAGAAGTGGGGTGAGGTTTACCCATGGGCAAAGAGACTAGGGTCCAGAGAAGGTAGGGATTCATCCCAACAGCCTGAACTCCTAAGGGCTCCAGCCACTGCCACTCCAGGTTCTGGGGAGACCTTGCAAGGCCCACTGCCCACCCAACCCTCCAGCAGCCCCTGGCCCCCTCACCTCTCCTGGCTTAATATCCTCCAGGGCGGTGACATGTAAAAGGAAGTTGTTCTCTGGGAAGGAGGTCTCTGCATTGGGGACACAGCTATGGTTGCCTAGAGCACAAGGGACAGGTGATGAAGATTATTGGCTTAAAAAAAAAAAGCCTCAATTCTGCAGAGCATTAGTCCCCTGATTTCTTACTCTGATCCCTGCTGGGGCTGAACAGGGCCTAGACTCCACTTCCCAATTCCCCAGCCAGTGTTCTTTCCCGAAAGCCACAGAGCACAGGTACCCATGCACTCCCACATCACACCTCACTGCAGCCCCCCATGACCAGCCAGCTCCAGGCTCAGCCACACTCCCACTGCTTTGCAGAGGTGGGGACAGGGCTCTGAAGGGATGTCCACCCCGGCTGGCTCCAGGTGCTCTGAGAACCCAGTCTGAGAGTGGCCTGGAAACCTGGGAGGAGGGGCTTGCAGGGAGGACACCAGAGGGTGGGAGCTAAGATCTAGAAAAGGCAGTTGTTGGAGCTGGCCTTGCCCCTCTCCACCAGGTGCTGATGAGGCCCCTTCTGGCCTGTGCTCCCTCTTCCCAGGACCCTAGGGCCTTCCCAAGTCCCTCTCCAACCCCCAGTCAAATCTTACAGGGCAGTGATGGTGCAAGTCAGAGCCTGTGCCTGTCTCAGCACAGAGCCTGGCCTGCTGTAAGGTTTTATATATAAGCATATAATGAGGTGCAAACAGCAAGGAGGGAGGGAGGAAGAAAGGGAAAGGAAAGAAGAGAAAAAAAAAAACAAAACTTAACCCAGCTCCTACGGTCAACCCTACCAGCCTAGAAAGAGCCAGCTGAGAGGTGAACTGAGGCTGTGGGGCCAACCAGGAAAGGCAGACCCCTGGGCCCCGCCTGCTTCAGCACCAGGACTCACAGCAGCTCTGAAGAACAAAAAGGCCGGATCCTTCGCAGTTCAGAAACTCGCCAGTTGCTGCAAGACAGTGATGTGCAGGTGTCAGTCTAGCCATTTTACAGGTGGGGAAAGGAACCTCGGCTCACAAGGACAGGTCCTGGCTCCACTTCCTGTCACCCCCCACACCGAGGTATCCAGCCCCCACTGTTTCACCTCAGCTTGCTCCTGAGGCATAAGCCCTGCTTTTCTGCTATAACATCACCCTGTTTGTCCAGCATGGAGCCCCTGAATGGAGCACAGGGCCACTTTTCACCTGTGTGTCCTATGGGCAAACCTGAAGCTCTCCATAGGCATACAGGGATTCCTTCCCCCCACCACTAACTCAGAGCATCCTGGGAGACTGTGTCGGCCACCTCACTGGGGGCTCTCCAAGGCCCCAGCTCACCAACCTGCCTCGATGTCCTTGTACAGCTGATCAATGAAGGCGTCCAGCTGCTCGCGGTCCTGAGGCTTCAGCTCCAGGGCATCACAGGCATGGACCCACTGGCTCAGGGAGCTGGGGACCAGGCAGGTCGTGGTTGGAGAGCAAGGAGCAGAGGTCACAGAGCTCCCCTCCTCCACCTCATTTCTCCAGCATACCAAGGCTCCCCAAAGCAGACCCCACTGCCTCCCTCTCTCTGTCTGCCCACCACTGTGTCCAGTTCAGTGCTCTGGCCAACCTACCCCACCCCATTCTTGAAGGGAGCCTGTGGCTACCTTCCTGAATCACTCTCCACCCTGAGGAATCCATTCCATCTCTCTGGAACATTTCTCTCCTAACCTGGTCCCGATTCCTTGGCCGTTGGTCCCAACCAGAGCAAAGAGAGACCGGAATCCATCTGGAGTGAACCACTGTGGAGGGGAGAGGATGGGAGGGCTCAGCAAATAGCCACTTACTCTTCATGCAGACACAACACTCTGTGAAGCAGTTCTGGCCCAACTCCAGAAGAACACGTTGGCTGTGGCTGGGCTTCTCAGAGGTGATGCAAACTCAGGTGCTCCTAGTGAGTGGAAATGCCAGGCAGCCACCGGTGCCACCCTCCCACACTCACCTGGCTAAGTGCTTCCTCATAAAGGGCCTCTGTGAAGAGTCTCCGCAGAAGTTCCAGCTGGCCCTGGGTTAGGGGAGGCAGAGACTTGTATTCCAGGGGTTTCCGGTGAGCCCCCAGATAGGGCCCAGAAGACAAGACAAAGGAAGGAGACAGGAGGGCCAACTCTGTAGACCAAGCTTCCCCTGGGATCTCTGGTAGGCTGCTGACCTGCTCTAAGCCAAGGGTGAATCCAAATGTCTCCCCACTTCCTAGGGGCTGGGCAGCCAGGCTCAGAGCATTTGTCCTCAGTCCCTTCCCTCCACCCACTCTGGTCTTCAGCTGGGCTGGGCTCTCTCCCTTCCCTGAGGACTTGCTGCCCACATGCCTCCCTGCCACATATCGGACCTCCTCAGGCAGCTCCCGTGTGGAAGTCGGCTGTCTCTAGGGATAATGTATGCACTTTGCTTGGGAACAGGCACTTCGGCAATTTCACATGCACACCCCAACCCTCCATTTTTCACTAGACCCAGTTTACCCACTGCTGTCCCCTGACTGGGGCCCTGCCTTCCCACGCCAGGTAAGCACACTTGCAGGGCAAGGCACCCAAGCCCTCCTTCCTCTGCACTGCCCTACTTCCATACTTCCCAACTTTAGGTCCACATCAAGTCCAGAATTTAGACAGTGGCAAGAATATAAGCACTCAGGACTGGCACTATGGCATAGTGGGTTAAACCGCCACCTGCAGTACTGGCATCCCATATGGGCACTGGTTCAAGTCCTGGCTGCTCCAGCTCCCTGCTAATGGCCTGGGAAAGCAGTAGAAGATGGCCCAAGTCTTTGGGCCCCTGCACCCATGTGGAAGACCTGGAAGAAGCTCCTGGCTCCTGGCTTTGGATTGGCCCAGCTCTGGCCACTACAGCCATTTGAGGAGTGAACCAACAGATGGAAAATCTCTCTCTGTAATTCTGCCATCCATATAAATAAATCTTAAAAAAACAAAAAGAATGTAAGTTCTCTGAACTGATTTTTGGGCCCAGGTTCTAATCTAAAAGACCAAATGTGGAGCTCCCAACCCATAGCCACAGACATCCCAGGCTTTAGGGAGAGGGAAGAAACAGGTCATGGGAGAAGACTAACCTTGAATTTGTCCCCCAGGAGTTTGTGGACAATCTCTTCTTCTTCATTGGCCGTCTTGTTACAGAACTGGGAGAAGAGCCTGAGCCAACGGTCCTTGTCCTTAGCCTGCAGTAAACACACGGACTTCAGCGTCATGGACACCCATCTCCTTACCGCCCTTCTGCCCACGTGAGATGGCTAGTCCACGTCTCCAAAGCCTTGGCCGTCAGGGAAATATCACCATCTGTGAGCTCAAGAGGCTTCCTCCCCAGCTAGAACAGAGCTAGCCAACTCAACCACATGTGGGAAAGTAAGAGAAAGAGACTGAAGGATGACAGTAATACTAGTAGGGGGTCAGAGTGGCTGCTCTCACTTTATGTTAGACACACAACCCTGAAAAAGTGATCTTATACTGAATGCATGGATTGCTGCTACAGAAGACATCTTCCCGAAGATGAAAAAAGCTACAGGCAACATGAGCCCCCCCCCCCCCCAACTCCCCACGCCTGATTTATGTTTAGCACACTCCTACGATTCTACACAGCAAGCAGTTCCACTTTGGGAAGCCAGGAAGAAACCTGTGTCCAAGCCAGGGCTTTGATGTGAGGAGGAGACTGAGAACAAGAGCTGAATGGGGCCAGAGTCGGCTCCCTGGGAGGATCAGGGGGCTCACCTGCTTCACTGTGGCCACCATCCGGGCCATCAACATTATGCTTGCAGTCTCAGGGGGGTAGTGAACACTCCTGGGGAGAAAGGAAAGCTTGGCTCAGAAATGTTCTTTCTCCCTAGTGATACAGAGAAAGGGAAACACTTTTTTTTTTAAATAATCTTTATTTATTTAATTATTTTATTTATTTTAAATATTTATTTATTTATTTTAAAGTCAGAGTTAGAGAGAGAGAGAGAGAGAGAGAAATCTTCCATCCACTGGTTCATTCCCCAAACGGCCACAACAGCCAAGGCTGGGCCAGGGCAAAACTACGAGCCAGGAACTTCCTCCAGGTGCCCCACATGGGTGCAGGGATCCAAGCACTTGGGCCATCTTCCACTGCTTTCCCAGGTGCATCAGCAGGGAACTGGATTGAAGCGGAGCAGCGAGGATATCAACTGGCCGGCACTGCTAAAGGTGGCTTAACCCACTGCACCACAGCACTGGCTCCAGGGTTAGACTTTTTATGTGCTGTTGGTGGGAATAAAGATTAGCACAGCCACTACAGAAACCAGTATGAATGTTCCTCAAGAAAGTAAACAATCAAGGTATCCATGCATGGATGAATGGATAGAGAAAATATGATATAAACAGAATGGAGTATTATTCAACCACAAAAAATAATGAAATCGTGTTTCATTTATGGCAACATGTAATGGAGCTGGAGAATGTTATGTTAGGTTAAATAAGCCAGGCACAGAAAGACAAATATCACATGTTCTCTCACATGCAGAAGCTAAAATATTGAGAATTCCTGCAAAGCTGGACAGGTAGGGTAAAAAGGGGAGCAGGGTAGGGGAAGGGGTCAGATAACAGATACTAAGAAAGGAGGAGTAAGCTCCAGTGTTCTACAGCACAGTAAAATGACTTTAATTCACAATAATTACATACTTTGGAGCTGGCACTGTGGCGTAGTGGGTAAAGCCACCTCCTGCAGTGTCAGCATCCCATATGGGCGCCAGTTTGAGTTCTGGCTGCTCCATTTCCAATCCAGCTCTCTGCTATGGTCTGGGAAAGCAGTGGAAGATGGCCCAAATTCTTGGACCCCTGCACCCATGTGGGAGTCCTGGAAGAAGCTCCTAGTTCCTGGCTTCAGATGGCCCAGTTCCGGCCATTCGGCCACCTGGGGAGTAAACCAGCAGATGGAAGACTTTTCTCTCTGGTTCTGCCTCTCTATAACTCTGCCTTTCAAATAAATAAATAAATCTTTTAAAAAGTAGTTATATACTTTTTTTTTTTTTCAGGCAGAATGGACAGGGAGAGAGAGAGAGACAGAGAGAAAGGTCTTCCTTTTGCCGTTGGTTCACCCTCCAATGGCCGCCACAGCTGGCACGCTGCAGCTGGCGCACCGCGCTGATCCGAAGGCAGGAGCCAGGTGCTTCTCTTGGTCTCCCATGGGGTGCAGGGCCCAAGCACTTGGGCCATCCTCCACTGCACTCCCTGGCCACAGCAGAGAGCTGGCCTGGAAGAGGGGCAACCGGGACAGAATCCGGTGCCCCGACCGGGACTAGAACCCAGTGTGCCGGCGCCGCAAGGTGGAGGATTAGCCTATTGAGCCACGGCGCCGGCCAGTAGTTATATACTTTATAACCAACTAGAAGAGAGGAATTCGAAGGTTCCCAACACAAAGAAATAAATGCTGAAAGTGTAGAAACATTATGCAATGTACACATGTATCCAATTATCACCCTGTACCCCAGAAATATGCATAATTATTATGTGTCAATTAAAAGCTAAGAAAGGAAAATGAAATTCTCTCCATAGTAGCTGAGCTCAGGGAAGTCCAGCCTGATGGCTACTGAGAACCCTTCCTGCCAATTCCATCTATGGCCAGGTAGAGGAAGTCACAGGCAGGGACTTAAGGCAGGACTCTGCAGTCCTATAGGCTCAGTGGGGCTCTTCCTAAGATCTTTTGCTAAGGATAGCTGGACAGGCAGCCCAGATTAAAGGTGTTGGGACCTCTGTTTAAGAAGGGAGGAAGGATCTGGGGGCTGGAAACCTAATGAGCCCGGGCAGTCAGGGAGGGCAGGATAAGGGAAAGGAGGGGGATGGGACCTACCTCCATGCCTCCTGCAGCTTATTGAGAGGATGCAGAGGGTCATCCTGGGAGGGGCCTGGGCACAGGACCTGGTGGTATTGCTCAGCAGCTGCCAGCCGACATTCTGCACTGCAGTACATCACCTGTTGGGGAGGTTAGCATCCCAGGATCCAGTGATGGGGAAGGGGGGTGAGGCACAGGCTTCCCACGTGGTCCTCACCTCCCGCATTCCTGCCACACAGTCCCTGAGCTGCAGCTCACTGATACTATGAGATGAGAAAACATAGGGTACTCTGGAACCCATGAGAGAAGCCCCTAACCCAGGCTTGGAAAGCCACAGGAAGGGAAGAGAGCTTTTCAGGCAGAGGAAGAAGGCAAGCACCCAGCAGGCCCACAGCTGGCACAGGGAAGATGAAACTGGAACAGTAACCAAGCCCTTTCAATGTCTTACCTGACGTTGTGGCTCTCAAGGGCCAGGGCCAGATGGGTCTCTCCAGAGAATTCAGCTAAGGCCTCCCTCATCTGCCCCCTTCCAGGTACACCCCACAGATGCTCACCTGGCAGTGGGGGCAGTTCTGGTGGAGGTCCTTGCGCACAGTGCACAGCTCTGGGTGAGGCAGAACCTGGCCTGGCTTCCCGGTCAGCCTCTGCGCATTCTCTTCGGCCTTCTCCAGTGCCCGAAGGCAGTGGTCACAGGCTGAGGGTGCGAACCAGACATGACAATGTGTCTCGAGAGCCACATCTTTCCTTTACACAGCAGCAACCCTGGGCTAGAACGATGCCTGGCACGTTGCAGGTGTTCCACAAAAAGTGTGGGGAGGGACTGACACTGTGGTATAGTACTTAAGCCGCCGTCTGCGGTGTCGTCATCCCATATGAACATCAGTTTGAGTCCCAGCTGCTCAACTTCCATTCCAGCTCTCTGCTATGGCCTGGGAAAGCAGTGGAAGATGGCCCAAGTGTTTGGGACCCTGCACCCACGTGGGAGACCTGGAAGAAGCTCCTGGTTCCCGCCTTTAAATTGGCCCAGTTCCAGCCGTTGCAGCCATTTGGGGAGTGAACCAGCGGATGGAAGATCAATATCTCTCTCTGCTTCTCCTTCTCTCTCTTTCTCTCTAACTCTGCCTTTCAAAAAAATAAAATAAATCTTTTTAAAAAAAACCAAACACCTGGAGTCCCAGAGCCATCGGTCAGTAGGCATGCATGCAGCTCTCTTCCATGCACAAAAGGGACCAGTTCTGGAGCCACAAGGAGTGGCTAAGAAGCACTCACCTCGGTAGCGATAAAGTGCATTCCAGAGAAACTGTGCAGCCACCAAGGGCCGTTCAACAAAGATGGTCTCCCCCTTCCGGATCAGCTGCGTGGCAAACAGCCCCTTTCCCTAAGAGGACAGAGAGGGAACAGCAGAGCCCTAAGCAAGGGCACAGGACCGTGGCGTGACCAACACCAGTCCCCAGAGGCTGACCAGCATTGGCCCAAGTGCCGCTCTCTGAGCAGAGATCTCTGCCTCCTAGGGCTCACGGAGAACAGTCAGCACCCTTCATAACTGCTCCTCTTGGGAGGAAGCTCAGACCCACTTTCACTTACGTGCATTCAGAGAGGAATGCCTGGGACCAAGAGGAGCCACCTCAGACCCCTCAGAGGAGCGGATTGTGCAGAATGGCCAGAGGAGAGCCAAGGCTCTTGGCCCCTTGAGGCCTCCCGTTCCAGGACCTGCTAACAGCAGAGCACCCTTCTCTGAGTTACCCACATGCCCCTCCAGGATCCTGGCAGTGGCGCTGCTGAGCAGGGTGGTAGAGAAATCTCATCCCATGGATGTCTACTCCAAGGAAGAATGTGCCTTCCTCCAGGACCAGCTGAGGAACCGTGGCACCTGGCACAGTGCCTGGCACTGGGCAAGTGCTCAGGGGTCACACTGAAAGGAACGAGCTCTTCTAGCATTAGTCCCAATGTTCCCTTGCTGTGTGCCTTTGAGCCAATTGCTTTGATTTTTTACATCTGTTTCTCATGTGAAAAGTTCATATTACAGTAAGTCCTACCAGGTAGTTAACCGGATGCAATGACACAGAACAAGCTAATTACTTTAAGAGTTCCTCACAATTCAGTGTGAAGTAAATGGACTGGCAACATGGATGTCACTGTGGATGCTGTTAGAAACACAGAACCTCAGGGCCGGCACTGTGGTATAGCGGGTAAAGTTGTCACTTGCAGTGCCAGCATCCCATGTGGGTGTTGGTTCGAGTCCCGGTTGCTCCACTACCAATCCAGCTCTCTGCTATGGTCTGGGAAAGCAGCAGAAGATGGCCCAAGTCCTTCGCCCTGCATCTACATGGGAGACCTGGAAGAAGCTCCTGGCTTTGGATGGGTCCAGCTCTGGGCATTGCAGCCATATGGGGAGTGAACCAGCAGATGGAAGACCTCTCTCTCTCTTCTGCCTCTGCCTCTTGGTAACTCTGCTTTTCAAATAAATAAATAAAATCAAAAAAAAAAAAAAAAAAAAAAAAAAAAAAAGAAAGAAATGCAAAACCTCAGGCCTCATGTCAGGCCTGCTGAATCAAACCTGCATTTCAACAAGATGCCTGGGTAATTCATAAGCATATTAAAATTTGAGAAGCACTGGTCCAGAATACTAGACACCTCATGGAAGGGAAGTAGGACAACCTGCCCTCTAAAATATGCAAGAGGACTTGGGCAATGGCTTCAAAACCCAGGCACTTACCAGTCATGCTGGGTACTTAGTCCCACCGCTCACTCAGATAAGACAGGCAATGTCCCTGCCAACACTGAGCAGCCACAACAAAGGGAGAGAGAAAAAAAGCTTGGCCCGGCAGCAAAATGCCCTGTCACTACAGCATCCCAAGTAGCCTCCTGCTTCCTTTTAGCACTGGTGTTGTCAGACAGTGTGCCTCCCAAGCTCACAACAGACCAGGACAGGCCCTGAGCAATCCCTAAGCCGCAAATCTCAACCCTAACAGCGCAACAGAAGAGGTGGAATGAAACCAAGGGGCAAGGCAGTGGGCACACCCTAGGCTGTCTTCCTCTTCCTGGAAGCCCTGCCCCCAAGCCTTGTAGTCCTAGACACCAAAAAAAATGGAGTGAAATAAAAAGTTGGCCCTCCTCTATGGGTCCAATCCCACACAAACAAGGACCCCCATTGTCTCTAATATCAAATCTCAAAATTGGACAGATATAGATCTCCTCCTTGTTCTGGAGGACCAATGCAGAAAAGAGTTAGCAATCAAAACAAAAGGAAAAGAATCAGAGTTGTTCTTTCATAAACCCATTCCTCCCCGCAAACAGATGAAGGCATTTGTTTTTCAAAACTCAGCTCTAATTCCTAATATCAAGAAACATGGAGAGCACCGAACCTGTAGGGAAAGGGTACAGACCTGAAAACACATTTCCAATGTGAAGAGGCCATTTTAAGAAAAGACTATAAAAGTTGATTCAACGGTGATTTTCTAGAAAAATACAAATGAACAAAACTGAATTCAAAAGGCAGAATGCCCAGTCTGATAAACAGTGCTGCCATCTGCCCAGCATGAACTAGCATGACATTCCAGCAGGTGTCACCACACCTGGTCAGGTGCTGGTGTGCCTTACATGGGTGATGTCCCCGGAATAACAGTTGGCAAGTTTTTGAAAACCACTCCTGCCAACATCCATAAAAGCAATAAAAACTTGCCCAAAACTACCCCCATGATGCCCTCTGTCAACAGAGTTTCACGAACCAGCTGTCTCAAACTTTCAAAAAATAAGTCACTTCATGCTATTTAAACTACTGAGTTACAGAGAAAAAAATAGAAAGCTTCTCTATTCTATAAAAAAAAAAAAAAAAAGTTGAACCTGCATGCGACAACCTGAGAGAGAGAGCACAAACAAAAAACTCACACACCAATCTGACCTAATGACTACAGATGCAAAATCCCAGTATAATCTATCTTGTTACCAAGCCCAGGTGGGAGTGTGGGTTTCTCCAGCAGATAAGGTGAGGGCGGGGAGAAGGTGTCACAGGACAACTGAACAAAGAGAGTGCAGAAAGGAGGAGGCTGACAGAACAGGCCTGATGAAGGCAAAGGTGGAACTGAGACACTATCACACCGTGGGCCACCCAGTACCACCACAAGCTCTGCATACTGAGCAGCTAAAGAGACCAAGGATGCAAGGGAGGATAGGAGTGCTCAAGAGAACAAAGAGGGATTGGTGCTGTGGCATAGCGAGTGGGCCCCTGCACCCACATGGGAGACCCAGAAGAAGCTCCTGGCTCCTGGCTTTGGATGAACCCAGTCGGAGAGTGAACCAGCAGATAGAAGACTTCTCTCTCTCTCTCTCTCTCTCTCTCTCTCCCTCTCTTTGCCTCTGCCTCTCTGTAATTCTGCCTTTCAAATAAATAAGTCTTAAAAAAAAACATAACAAGAGAGGTGAGGTTGTGAGACTGGGTCAACAAGCAGATGCTGAGAGCAGGAGACAGAGGACTAACATCTTGGGCAAGGACCAGAGTCACACAGCCACCACACCCGATGTTATTCAATCTCACTAGGAACCAAACAAATGAAAATGAGAACAGAACAATACCATTTTGCACACATCAAATGAAAAAGATAACCAGGAAAGAAAACAGTGATGATATGCACAGAAATTGAAATCCAAGGCATTTGGCCCCAGCAGTGACAAATCAGATACAACAGAAAGGGTCCATGAATAGGGATAAGTTGAGTAAACTGTTCTTATATAGAAACAGGCTCACTGATACTAATGCACCAAAAGGCAGCTTCTAGGATGTCATTTTAACAGACACATCTTTGCAGGAGTAAGAGGGCTGTGAATGATTACCTTTTCTTCCTTTATATGCATTTTTTCCTACAACGAACTTTTAAAAAACACAATAAATACGACACAATGACGTCACCTTCTTGCTTAAAGCTCTTCAAATGCCTCCACCCACCCACCCCCGGGCCTTCGGGCTCTGGTCCAAATTCCTCAGCACTCCAAGGGTCCAGCCTCTCTCCTCCTCCACTCAGAAAGTTCCCTGAAGAACCACGCTTTTTATACCTCGGTTCCCCGCCCATCGCTCCACGGCCCCACCAGCAACGTCCCCAGACCGGCCCGGGAGGCCCGGCGCCCACCAGCCCTGCCCCGAGCAGCCGCCGCACGGCCGCAGGTGGATGGGCCGCGATCCGCGGCGAGGGGCGCGCACCGAGGCTCTCGAGGCCCGGGTCCGCCGCGTGACCGAGCCAGGAAGCTGCGCGCAGTGACAGATTGGAGCCCCCAGGGTAGGGCCGCAGCATTCGAACCGCACAGGCGCCTCTGGGCTCTAGGTGTGGGGTCCCGAGGAGCTGTTCTCAAAGCCGGGCGCGGCGGGGGCTCCCAGCGGGGTCCGCCCAGGCCTCACCTTGGCACTGCTCACGAAACGGACTTCCACGGAGACCCGAGCCGGCCCTGCCACGCCCACGCAGAAAGAGAACACGTCGCACATGGAGGCCGCCATCTTGGGCGAGCCTCCTCCTTCTGACCCTTGACCCCGCCTCGACCCTGGAGGCCCCGCCCCTCCCGGGCCCCGCCTCCCGCGCGAGTGTATTCAGGTTTGCCAGGGTTTGCGCTCTAGCGAGTCCCTTAGTTCGTTGAATGGGTGGAACTGGGCCTGCCTTTGTGCGTGTACACCTCTGCGGTTTTGTGTCTGTGCCTCCGTGGTCGGCGTGTGCGTCCACCAACGTATGAGTGCATAGATGCATCTGAGTCTGTGTACTAACTCCTGTTGGCTCTGCCCACACCGTGGCCCGTCCTAATTGAGTAGACGATTTTTTGTACCCAGCCGAGGCTTAGGCCAGCAGAGGGCAGACTTCTCTCCTCTGTGACCCCCCAACCTGAAGGCTGGGACTAGTTTGTACCCTGGGTCTGACCCACACCACCCCTGAGAGCAGTCAGGTGGAGAGCGGGGTTGGGGGGGTTGGGGCAGGAGGCTCAGAGGCCTTTGCAGCGTGGGAGTGGTGAAACAGCCCATATTGGGGCCGGCGCTGTGCCACGTGAATTAAGCCCTTGCCTGCAGTGCTGGCATCCCACATGGGTACCAACTGAAGTCTCCGGCTGCTCCACTTCTGATCCAGCTCTCTGCTATGGCCTGGAAAAGCAGCAGAAGATGGCCCAAATCCTTGGACCCCTGCACTGGAGTGGAAGACCTGGAAGAGGCTCCTGACTCCAGCCTGGCCCAGCAGTTGTGGCTACTTGAAGAGTGAACCAGCAAATGGAAGGTCTCTCTCTGTAACTCTGCCTTTCAAATAAATAAATCTTAAAAAAAAAAAAAAAAAAAAAAAAAAGTCCATAGTGGACTTCAGGTCTGAGATCCCTGACCTTGCGTGCAGACATGAGTGTGCACAAGCATTGCCCTGACAATGGAAGACAGGCGAGTTCTTTCTTCTGAACCCCAGAAAGCTATGAACCACAGGCCTCCAGCATGCCTTGTGCTATTTCCTTGTCCCCCAGTTGACTCTGTGTTCCTTGAAAAGAGACCTGTGTCTGCACCTGTGGTCATCTTGTGATGTTGGGAGATGGGGCGGAGCTCAGTAATTGCTACACAGGCAACTTGATGTGTGTGTGTGTGTGTGTGTGTGCTGTTGTGTCCATCCCCACACCCCCACCCCCACCCCCAGCCTTACTGAGCCATTTCCTGGAAGAGACCTTGGAATGGAAAGGTTCTGGAATTTGGACCCCGGTTCTCCTCCAGCCTTCCCCCTCGGTGCCTGGGAGAGGATGGTCCACGGCCTTCGCAGCCAGCTGTTTTCCTAGGCCACTTTTGCTCCTTTCCAATGTGGCAGAAAACGGCTCTTAGAGCCCCTAGAGGGCCGCCCCCTCTCACCACCAGGAGGCTTTTCTACCCCCTCACCTTAGCCTGCAGGGGCCCTTTTAGGACCTGAATGTCTATGCTATATTTGTGCAGGCGTCACAGGAGGAGGCTACAGCAGGAGGCTTAGAAGCTGAGCAGATGACTGGGCAGGAAAGGGAACCCTGAGAGAGGGTTAGGAAGGGGGGAAATAACTGTCTTCTGGAAATATGGAAAAACCGATGACAAAATGGCAGCCTTGGCAAAGACAGAAGCTTGGAACCAAACTTCTCTATTCTATACAAAGATGGGGAGGGGGTTCAGGTGGGTAGCCGGGCGGAAAACACAGGTGATGGGGTGGCGTGTTGCTCCAAGGAGGCAGCTGGGCAGAGTTCTTCTGCAGTGACAACAGACAAAACAGGGAACTTTGGGGAGCTATACCTCTGCCTCCTCTTTGCCCTCAGCTCCACCATCTGCAGAGGAGAAGGGCCTTCTATGCCCAGACAGTGGGCCCCGCCTCCACCAGGGCTGGTAGAGCTGCCACTCCCACACAGGGGCAGGGGGCTATCAGCCTTAACATCAGTCACACACTCGGCACTAGGCCTGGCCCACAGCAGGTGCTTCACAGATACCATGTCACTAGTGGGAGGTCTAGCTTATCCATACGCCTATGTTAAGGTGAAGCAAAGAGGCCCAGAAGTTCAGTCACCTGGCCAAGGGACCTAGCTGAAGGCCCAGCTCTGTTCTCCTGATCATTACGTTATCCCTGCTCCCAGTGGTCAGAGGAAGTCCCACGGGACAGTTCTGATTCCTCGGGTGCTCTTTGGCCCTGGCAAGGCTCTTCACTGAGATCTGGGGCAGGGAAGTCCAGTAGAGGCCCCCAGCAGAGACGGCCTCAGCCATCCTCAGCTGTCCTCTCCTGACCGGGTGTCTTCACTCTGGATGCTGCTGTCGGAGCTGCTGGAGGGCTCGTCCAGGGAGGCAGACGTGGCTTTCAGCTTCTGCTGTTTCTGATACTTGACCCTGCGGTTTTGGAACCAGACCCTCACCTGTAATGGAGGGCAATGGGTAGACATGAGAATGTGTCCCCCCACTTCCCAGAGGGCCTGTCCTTTACTGCCTGGCCGAACTCTGCTCTTCCTTCTAAGGGAGGCACCTCCTCCAAAGCACCCTTTGCTATAACTCCAGTCCCTTCATCCACCAAACGAGGATTCGCTGAGCTCCTATTATGTGCTAGAAGCCATCCTAGGGGATGGTGACACAGTGGTGACTGACAAAGGCATGGTCCCTGCCCCTGGTAGCTCCCCACCTGCTGGAGAGAGACTGGTAAAAATGGTGAGCAAACAACGTAGTAAGGAAGATAAGTGGACAGAAGCAGGATTGGGTAGAGGAACCTCCCTGAGGAACCAGCACTAAAGACAAGGCTCAAAGCATGAGAGGCCAGTGTGGTAGGGACAGAGGAGAGCAGGCTGAGTGGGGCAGGGAACAACCCACAGCATGGCACTGTGGGAGCCCAGGCTGGAGTGTCTGAGGCAAGAGAGGAGAGCATGGCTCACAGAGGAGAAAGCACTAGGAGGCAAAGTGGGAGAGGGCAGCGGGAGCCACATCACCCAGGTCCTTGAGGGCCACAGGTAAGGAGTGTTACCTTGAGGCTTTTAAATAAGACTTGACGGGGACCCCAGTGTTGTGGTGCAGTGGGTTAAGCCACCGCTTACCACACCAGCATCCCATACAAGAGCACCAGTTCAAGTTCTAGCTACTCTGCTTCCAATCCAGCTCCCTGCTAATGCACCTAGGAAAGCAATGGAAGATGGCCCAAGTACTTCAGCCCCTGCCACCCATATGGGAGACCTGGATGGAGTTCCTTGCTCCTGGCTTCAGCCTGGACTAGCACCAGCCATTGCAGCCATTTGGGGAGTGAACCAGAGGATAGAATCAAATAAACAAGTCTTTAAAAGATGAGTGAATAAACAGGCTATGACATAGTCCTATTTACATCTTTTTCTTTTTTTATTTTTTATTTATTTGACAGGCAGAGTGGACAGTGAGAGAGAGAGAGAGACAGAGAGAAAGGTCTTCCTTTTGCCGTTGGTTCACCCTCCAATGGCCGCCGCGGCCAGTGCGCTGCGGCAGGCGCACCGCGCTGATCCGATGGCAGGAGCCAGGAACCTCTCCTGGTCTCCCATGGGGTGCAGGGCCCAAGGACCTGGGCCATCCTCCACTGCACTCCCTGGCCACAGCAGAGAGCTGGCCTGGAAGAGGGGCAACCGGGACAGAATCCGGCGACTAGAACCGGGACTAGAACCCGGTGTGCTGGCGCTGCAAGGCGGAGGATTAGGCTAGTGAGCCGCGGCACCGGCCCCTATTTACATCTTAACTGAATGGCATATCTGGCTGCTGTGTGAAGAATGGCTGAAGGCAGGAGCCAGGAGGCCGCTGTGGTGATCCTTCAAGCACCGGGGGCTATAAGCTGGGGCAACAGTAGGGAAGTGTTTTGGAGACAGAGGTGGCAAGGCTTGCTGATGGTTGCAAGTGGAGGAGCAGCAGGGATGAAGAGGGATTTTTTTTTTAAGCAAGTTAGTGGACAGAGGGCCATGTATAAGGAAAGGAACAGATCTAGGGAGGACAAAAGTCAGGAACTGAGGTCTAGACTTATTAAGTTTAAAATGCTCACCCATGAGACATGAAGTGGAGACCTCAGGAACAGAGTTATATGTACAAGCCAGGAGAGCGGGCTGACGCGACGTGGGAATTAGCTGCTTACAGGTGGTATTTAGGCCACAGGAATAGATGAGACCAGCGGGGAAGATCCTGAGGTCTCCCAGGGAAGAGTAGCTGGAGAAGAAGACAGAAGTGGCCAGAGAACTGGGAGAACCAAGAAAGTGTGGTCTGTTGAAGCCAAGAGAAGAGGGGTGTTGAGTGCTGCCATGCGTGGAGGATGGGGAAGCACCTGCTGGCTTGGACAACAGGGAGGTCAGAAGAGACCCTGCTAAGGAGTTAGGGACAGGTGGGATGAAGAGAGGCAATGAGTTAGGGAACGAATGGGAGGTGAGGATCAGGTGAGAATGAACAAAACAAGATCTTGAGAGGTTTACCTGTGAAAGGAGCAAAGAAATGTGAGACTAGCTGGACGGGACCATGGGGGTCAAGGGAATATTTATGATTTATGAAATACTTCATCTCTTGAGTATCTACTTGCTTTCACTGACAGCTCCTTATTCAGCATGGAAATGCTTTATTATTCTAGATGAATAATTAGATTAGCTCACATTGTCCCTGTAATGTGACTTCAAATGAATATGCAAAAAAGGCAGGGTGTGTCTCCCCAACAGCCTGGCACAGAGGAAGAAGGCCCATGTCTTCCACTCCCCTCCACACCTCCCCAGACATGGCGACTTCCACTGTCCCCATGTGCAGCCCAGGGTCCCAGGAGTCCCTGCTCCCACCTGGTTCTCTGTAAGGTTGAGCCGGGCTGCCAGCTGGGCTCTCTTCTTCCCCACCAGATTGTGTTGTTTCGCGAACACTCTCTCCAACTCCTCCAGCTGTTCCAAGTTAAACATAGTCCGGACCCTCTTTTGGTGTCTCTCAGCGTCATGAAGATCCCCAGTTGGGGGCCAGTATGGGGGGCCCCAGAGGCCTGCGCAGTGAGCCACCTCCAGGCCTAAAGAGCAACCAGCAGGGGATATTAGTCAGCGGCCGCCTGCCCACCCACCCTGGAGGAGAGAGCACACACACACACCACTCCACTGCCCAGCCTTCCCCTTGGCCAAGTAAGGGCCAAGTGGGAAGAGTGCGGAAATGACAGAAAACAAACAAGGAGACAATGTCAGGAGACTCCTGCTTCCACTACTCTCCAGCCCAGTGGCTTGCCCTCTGGGCCCTAACTGGAGTTGCCAAACCTCCCTCTCTCCTTCATTGCTCTCTTTTCCTTGACTACTTTGGGAAATCCTATAAGATGGGTAGAGGAGGGACTCCGGGGATTCACCCTTTGCATTCATTCAACAAATATTTTTCTTTTTATATTTTAAAGATTTATTTATTTATTTTATTATTTTATTATTTATTTATTTATTTTTGACAGGCAGAGTGGACAGTGAGAGAGAGACAGAGAGAAAGGCCTTCCTTTGCCGTTGGTTCACCCTGCAATGGCCGCCGCGGCCGGCGCGCTGCGGCCGGCGCACCGCGCTGATCCGATGGCAGGAGCCAGGTGCTTCTCCTGGTCTCCCATGCGGGTGCAGGACCCAAGGACTTGGGCCATCCTGCACTGCACTCCCTGGCCACAGCAGAGAGCTGGCCTGGAAGAGGGGAAACTGGGACAGAATCCGGCGCCCCCACCGGGACTATAACCCGGTGTGCCGGGGCCGCAAGGTGGAGGATTAGCCTATTGAGCCACGGCACTGGCTAAAGATTTATTTATTTATTTGAAAGAGTTACACAGAGAGAGGAGTGGCAGAGAGAGAGAGAGAGAGAGAGAGAGAGAGAGGTCTTCCATTTACTGGTTCACTCCCCAATTGGCTGCAACGGCTGCAGCTGGGACAATCCGAAGCCAGGAGCCAGCAGCTTCTTCTGGGTCTCCCACGCAGGTGCAGGGGCCCAAGGACTTGGGCCATCTTCCACTGCTTTCCCAGGCCACAACAGAGAGCTGGATTGGAAGTGGAGCAGCCAGGATTAGAACCGGTGCCCATATGGGGTGCCGGCACTGCAGGCATTGGCCTTACCCACTACACCACAGCGCTGGCCCCACAATTATTTTTTCAGTGAGTCAGGCATGGTGGCAGGACACACAGAAAACCCCTGTGCTGTTGTAGCTTACATGTTAGAAGTGGGGGAAACAGTCAACAAGGTAAATAACGAGAACACTTGGTGTGTCAATCGCAGTAGGTGGTGGGGGGAGAAAAAAGGAGGAAAGGGCACAAGATGAGTGTTTGGGGGAGTGGTTTGCATCTTTAGAAATGGTGGCCATCTCATGGCAGTGACACTTGAACAGGCCCACCCTCTAAGCCACTCTATACCACAGGAGCACTGCAGTCAGACCCTTGGCACAGGGAGAGTGGCTCTGAAATTCTGCGCAGGATACTCCCTCGGCCCCTGACAAGGCGCTGTGTCCGCCCGGAGGAAGGCACACCCTTTCCTAAGGGACACAGAAGTGCTATTCGGCTCAGCAAGCTGTGGGCCAGTGGAGATGCTTCAACCAAGGGGCAGTACCTGAGTCAGGTCTTGAAGGGGAATCTGGACTGGGAGGAGAGTGGTCTGGGCAGAGGAACTGGCAAGGGTAGTTCTGAGAACACTCAGCACCCCCTGGCCTTGGGAAGGCCTCAAGGATGCAGAGACAGTCCAGTGAAGGGAGCAGAGCTGGGGTCCTGGCTGCCCATGATACAACCACTGGGCCCATGAGGCTTACCATGTGCTTGCCTGAGGTCAGATCAAAAAACCCAGGAGGTGTATAGGTCTCCTGCCCTGTTTGTGTTGGTTTTTTTTTTTTTTTTTTTTTTTTTTTTTTTTTTTTTTTTGACAGGCAGAGTGGACAGTGAGAGAGAGAGACAGAGAGAAAGGTCTTCCTTTTGCCGTTGGTTCACCCTCCAATGGCCGCCGCGGCCAGCGTGCTGCGGCCGGCGCACCGCGCTGATCCGATGGCAGGAGCCAGGTGCTTCTCCTGGTCTCCCATGGGGTGCAGGGCCCAAGCACTTGGGCCATCCTCCACTGCACTCCTGGGCCATAGCAGAGAGCTGGCCTGGAAGAGGGGCAACCGGGACAGAATCCGGCGCCCCAACCGGGACTAGAACCCGGTGTGCTGGCGCTGCAAGGTGGAGGATTAGCCTAGTGAGCCGCGGCGCAGGCCTCCTGCCCTGTTTTGAAATTTGAAGTAGCCACGGCCCTTCAGGAGAGATTAGACTGCTGTTTAAGTTCCTTAAGAGCTCTGCCGCCTGTTAACCAGCCACATACTTAGGGAAGCCATACACCTCGGTGAGCCTTGATTTTCTCATATGTAAACTGGTGATAATTCCTGCTCTAGAGGCATCACAGGATTTAAAAACATGGTGCTTTGAAGGTGCTCAGCACTGTGCCAGGCAAAGAGCAAGAAGAAAATCAACAGTCACTGTAAAAAAAAGAGACAGTGCAATGCGGGAAGAGATGGATGGTTTTCAGATGGATGACTTCACAATCTGGGGGAAAAAATATGCTGAATCCAGATAAGTTCTGGCTGCTCCACTCCTGATCCAGATCCCTGCTAATGCACCTAGGAAAGCAGTGGAAGAGCCCAAGTGCTTGGGCCCCTGCACCCACGTAGGAGACCTGGAAGAAGCTCCTGGCTACTGGCTTTGGCCTGGCCTAGCCCTGGCTGTTGCAGCGATTTGGAGAGTGAACCAGTGGATGGAAGGTCTCTGTCTCTCCTTCTCTCTCTGTAACTGCCTTTCAAACATATAAATCTTTTTTAAAAATTCCAAATGGATGAAATATTTAAATATTAAAAAAAAAAAAACCTGGGGCTGGTGCTGTGGCACAGTGGGTTATAGCCCTGGCCTGAAATGTTGGCATCCCATATGGGCACTGGTTCTAGTCCCGGCTGCTCTACTTCTGATCCAACTCTCTGCTATGGCCTGGGAAAGCAGTAGAAGATGGCCCAAGTCCTTGGGCCCCTGCACCTACATGAGAGACCTGGAAGAGGCTCCTGGCTCCTGACTTCAGATTGGCTCAGCTCCAACCACTACAGCCAGTTGGGGAGTGAATCAGTAAATGGAAGACCTCTCTCTCTCTCTCTCAGCCTCTCGAATAAATAAATAAGTCTTTTTAAAATTTTATTTATTTATTTGAGAGGTAAAGTTACAGACAGTGAGAGGGAGAGACAGAGAGAAAGGTCTTCCTTCTGTTGGTTCACTCCCCAAATGGCCGCAATGGCCGGAGCTATGCCCATCCGAAGCTAGGAGCCAGAGGCTTCTTCCCAATCTCCCACGTGGTTGCAGGGGCCCAAGGACTTGGGCCATCCTCTACTGCTTTCCCAGGCCTTGGCCCAAAGCTGGATTGGAAATGGAGCAGCCGGGACTAGAACCGGCATACCTATGGGAAGCCGGCGCCGCAGGCGGAAGATTAACCTACTGCGCCACGACGCTGGCCCTAATAAATCTAATAAATAAATCTTAAAAAAAAAAAAAAGTGAGCTGGAGTAATGTCTGTCTCCCAGAGAGAGTGGTATGAGTTTGGAGAGTTAGGGGTCCAGAGGTGGAGGCAAGGCAGCGAGGGGGGGGGGGGGCAGGTAAAGTTGTGTTACAATAATCTTGGTAAGGAGAGAACTTTGCTCCTGTTCTCACGGGGATATGAAGAAGCATGAATCAAGCAGTCTAAAGTGGGCAAGAGCTGGTGCAAGCAGATGGTACTGCTAGAGGAGGAAGGAAGTTACTCAGTAAAAATCGCGAAGGGATAGCGCTGGCTACCGCTCTGAGAGCCGCCGGACAAGGCCGTTAGTGTGCCCAAGTTCGTAGACTCAGCCGCGGAGGCGGCAGCAGGGGCCGGGCAACCGCCAGGCGCTAACAGCTCTGGGCTGACCGCACCACCCCAACACCTTTTCCCTGCAAACAGGACCACGGGTTCTGGACGAGAGCGGCCTGGGGAAAATGTGCACGGACTGTTACCCCAAAGCGGTAAGGTTCAGGGGCCGAGACCCGGGAGAGGGCTAGGTCCCCCGGAAGCCCCAAGAATCCGCCGGGAGAGTTTCTGGCCCACTCGCGCTCACACTCACCCCTCACCGGGGCAGCTGGTGAGGGAAACCTCGCGCCGGCTTTTTCAGCGAGCCCCGCGTCTCAGATTCAACCGCAAGTTCAACGGCAGCAGAACCCCTTCCCTCCCCTACCGCGTTTGGTTCTCAAACCACTCTGCCTTCGACGGTCGCGGCCACCACCCTCCACCCCTCGCCCTTACGCGGCGCGCGGACGCCAGGCACGCCCTACCTGCGACACCGAAGCCCTGGAGGCCGCAGAAGGGAGCCATGTGCAGCCCGGGCACTGGAGGCCAAGGGCACAGCGGCAGGAGACCCACGCTCAGGTAGGCTGGCAGCCCAGTGGCCGGACACGCCCAGGGCAGAACCCGGGCTGGACACCGGGAGGGTTCGGTCCAGTGGCCCCAGGTGGCACAGGCGGAGGCTGGCGGCAGGGAGGCGGCCGGCGTGCGGGGCTCGGGCCTCGCCAGGATGGCTTCGACGGAGAAGGAGGACTCAAGGTGTCCGGGAGTGCGGGACGTGCCTGGGCCCTCAGGGCCGAGAGGGGACTTGGGGGACTGGGGCGCCGGAGAGCGGCCGGAAGGAGCGGGAGACCTGCGGCGTCGCGACCCAGGGCTGGGCATGGTGCGGCCAGGGCCGGAGTGAGTGTAGGAAGGGGAGCGGGGGCGCCTCTGAGGCTGTAGGGAGAGAGCACCAGGCCAGAGAGACGTCTCTGCTAGAACGTGTAGCCCAGGAACCTGCCCAGGCTCTCTGCGAAGACGCTTAAATTGGTGTGGGCGGACAGGGGCGGGGACCTGTCTTTTCTCCCTGTGGCCCAGGCGGGGCCTCCACAGGAGGTGCGCGTGAGGTCGTCCCGGGGTCGCCCCAGACCCCGCCCCACCCTGGGAGCGGCAAGGTGGGATCCGCGCTAGGGAGTGTGCGCCCTCCCTTCCAGTGCGTGTAAAGGTGCCCACCCTCAGGCGGCCGCGGAAAGGACTCTAGAGCTCCCCGGCGATCCTGGGCTAGCTACCCAGCCCCGGGCTTCGGTGCCAGACCTCTGTAAGCGAACCTGTAGGGATCGACTCCCCTCCCCGGCAGAGGCCCAGGGGACGCGAACAAGGGTAACATTCTCCCTGTGTGAGAACCTCCCGACCCCTTTGTGTGTGGACCCAAGCCCAGGGAGGATTCGCCTCTGGCGGCGCCGACTCGTTTTGTTGTGTGTAAGCACGGGAAAGACCAATCTTTCAACGGTCCCTTAACGCTTTATTTTCCAAACCGGAAGATGCCTCTTTCATAATGTTTCTTTTGGATCTTTCCAGGAACTTTCCGTGCCCACATCACCTAAGGGTGATCGGCCCTGAATTAAAACAAACAAACAAACAAACGGAGAGGGGACATCGGTGTGGGGGGGGGGGGCGGCTTCTGCTGGAGGGCGGTAAGAGAAGTCACGGCAGCGGGCGGCCAGCAGAGCTGGAGTTACTGGCCACACCGCGAGGAAGCAGCGGGCACGCAGGTCAGCTAGGGGCTGGCTTCCGCAGCGACGCGGGCTGCAACTGGAGGGGCTCTGACCGTAGCAGCAGTCCCTTCTCAGGGTGACTGTTGCTGCGTGCGAGCAGGAGAGTGGAGCTATACACCGAACATCCACGAAGCATGCTTGTAACTGCAATTATGTTCTCAGGGTGGGTTCCCTGCGGTCCAAGAGCTTTTCCCTGGGCGGAGCTGGAGGGCTTCTGCTGTCTTAGGAAGACTCCACCGAATGCCCTGGGGCCACCCTCCGTGATCTTCAGGGTGTGTGCAGGGTGTTGTGGTTCCAGACGAAGAATCGCTAATCCCTCGCCTGTGCTTGGGAGCTGAACTTGGGAACTAAACTCGCAGGGCAGGTGCTGGTTCTCCGTCCTGCAGATAATCAGTTTGCTTAGTAGCTATTGGCGGTGAGCAAGTTGGGAGCGTGCTTTCGCTCCCAACTTTCGGGGCAAGGAGCGCGCCGTTCGTCAGAGGAGCAGCTGCCAGGCTCCCGCCACGTCCTGCCCTTTCCCATCAGTGCTAACCCGAAAATTCCCGATCGGGTCCATGGCGGTCCCTTGACATTTTCTGTAGGCATCAGCTGTCTAGGACACGCACACGCCCTATATGCCCCGGCAGGTGGGGGCAGGAGGAACCTTGCTGGGGTCGGCTCGGTCCTCTTCCCTTAAGCAAAGCCTCGCCCCACCTTTTGAGCCCCCCCCCCCCACCGCCTCCCTGGTAGCTGAGATTGCAGGTTGCCTGGCGGCGAAGGAGTCGTAAGGCGCTGCCCGACTGGTCCCCAGGAGTGCTGGGTCCGAGGCGTGGGAACACGGAACAGAGCCCTGGGAAGGGGAGCTGCTCCTCGAGGCTAAATCCCCCGGGAGTTTGGGGGATCGAGGGAAAGCCTTAAATCCCACACACACAACTCCACCCCCTCGACGTGTTCCTGTTTGAGGGAGGGGCAGTGCCCCCGCCAGGACCCCCGCAAAAGGGGCAGACAGCATCCCTTGGGAAGAGGGACATGGGGACTTGCCGGCTGGGGCTCGCCACGATGGTCGTTCTTGCTGTTGGGGGGCCAGGAGCACGGCGACTGTAAATAAGGGTGTGTTTGTTTGTTTTTTTTTTTTTTTTAAGATTTATTTATTTGAGAGGCGGAGTTAGAGTGGTCAAAGCGGAGAGAGAGGTCTTCCATCTGTGGGTTCACTCCCTGAATGGCTGCAACAGCCAGAGTTGGGCTTATTTGAAGCCAGGAGCCAAGAGCTTCTTCTTGGTGCATGGGCCCAAGCACTTGGACCGTCTTCCACTGCTTTCCCAGGCCATCAGCAGAGAGCTGGATCAGAAGTTGAGGAGCTGGGACACCAACCCCCTGCTGCAGGCAGAGGCTTAACCTACTACACAGCGCAGACCGGAAAATGAGGGTTTTGAAGTTGAACACACTTAGCGTCACATCCCAGCTTTGTCCCTGAACACTTCTGTGACCTCCAATAAGTGACTTAGTTTCGGCAAGCCTCAGTTTCCTGTAAAATGAGAATGATGTCTTAGGTGACAATGCTTACCTGAGGGAATTGTTTCAAGATAAAGTGAGGTTGTTTTTAGCTAAGCGGAAACTGTTATGGGGAGAGAGGTTAATGACAATGGCAGACTCTCAGGGCTAAGCTTTTAAAAGAGGTACAGTGAGATATAGTATGGGACCAAATGTATAGGACCAAGATGTGCCTGGTCTGTGTCCTGTAAGCACTGAGACTAATGGGCTGATCTCTGGCAGCATGCACCCTGGAATCACGGGAGGTGACAGAGAGCCAGACAACATGTCTTTTTTTAATTTTTTTATATTTTTTTTCTTTTTTGCCAGACAACACGTCTAACACAGAGGCTTAAGAGTATCTTGCTAAGTGTATTTGTGATGACTTGAGGGTAAACATACTGCCTTTGTGTCTCAGTACATAACTCACTATATTTCAATATGTCTTTCTTCTGTTGTTTCATTTATTCACACTCAGACTGTAAATTCCTAAAGATAGCCATTAAATGCTCAATCTACATATGAGTAAATAGAGCAAGAGATTATCATTGTTCAAACCCTCCAAAGTTTGTGGTTTTAATTTGCATTTGTTTCCCTGAAGATCATTCATGTCATTTTTTTAAAAAAGGATTTATTTATTTTGATTGAAAGGCAGAGTTACAGAGAGAGAGAGAGAGAGAAGCAGAGACAGAGAGAAATCTTCCATCTGCTGGTTGCAGATGGCTGCAGAGGGAGCTGGGCCAGGTGGAAGCCAGGAGTTTCTTCCAGGTCTCCCATGTGGATGCAGAGGCCCAAGGACGTGGGCCATCCTCCGCTGCTTTCCCAGGCACGGTAGCAGGGAGCTGAATTGGAAGTGGAGCAGCTGGGTCATGAACCGGCACCTATATGGGATGCTTCAGGTGACAGCTTTTTACCTGCTCCCTGCAACACTGGCCCCGTCATGTCAGCTTTCATATGCTTGTCAGCCACTCAGAGATTTCCTTTGCTATGAAGTGCTTGTTTTGGTTTGATTCATTTTTTTTCCTTTTAGAAGATTTATTATTTGAAAGGAGGAGAGAGAGAGAGAATTTTTCATCCGCTGGTTCACTCTCCAAAAGCTGCAACAGCCAGGACTGGGCCATGCCAAAACCAGGAGCCAGGAACTCCATCCTGATCTTCCACGTGGAGGCAGGGACCCAAGTACTTGATTCATCCTCTGCTGTCTTTCCAGGAGCAGTAGCAGGGAGCTGGATTGAATGCAAAGCAGCCAGAACTCAAACTGCTCCTGCCAGTCTCAAACAGTGGCTTAATCCACTGTACTATAACGCAGGCCCCCAACCATGGAGTAGTAACCCACTGCACCACAACACCAGCCCCTGGCATGCTCATTTTTTGTGCCGAGTCACTCTTTTTCTTGTTAACTTGTGAAAGTTTTATGTATAGATACATATAGATAATTTGGGATCAAGTCCATTAATGCAATATATATAGAAGTAAATACCTTCCCCATAGGGCCGGTGCTGTGGTGCAGTGGGTTAAGTCACTGTCTGCAGCACTATTATCCTATATAGGCACCAGTTCCACTTCAGATCCAGCTCTCTGCTAATGTAACTGGGAAAGCAGTAGGAGATTTGGGAGACCCCGGTTCCTGTCTTCTCCACTTGAGGAATAAACCAATGGATAGAAGATCTCGGTCTCCTTTTCTCTCTGTAAATATTTCAAATAAATAAGTGAATCTTTAAAAATAAAATAACTTCTCCATCTGTGGCCTGCCTTTTCATTCTGTTAATATCTTTTTCTGATAAACCAAAAATTCCATAATTCTAATAAAAATTTTAAACTTTTTTTTATTAAAAAATCTATTTCATTTATTTGAGAGAGAGAGAGACAGAGAGCTCCCATCTAGCAATTGATTCCCCAAATGCCTGAGAGCCAGGAACTCAGTCCAGGTCATCCATGTGTGTGGCAGGGACCCAACTACCTGAGCAATCTTCTGCCTTCCAGGGTCTGCCTTAGCAGGACGTTGGAAAGGGAGTGGAACGAAGCAAGGACTCCAGCTGGGGTTTTCTGATATGGGATACAGGAATCTTAACTATTGCACCGAAGGCCTGGCCTTAGTGATCTGTTTTTGTGTCTGTTTAAGGAAAAGTTTGCACATACTAAATAATGAAAATGCTAAGTTTTTAAAAATTATTCTGTTACTCTACCTTTTACATGTAGGTCTTGAACTGGTTTTTGTATAGGTGTTAGAGAAAGGGCTTTTAAAGGTTTAGTCAGAGAAAGAGCACATTTTGGATCAAGAGCTTGCTCTTTCCCCCACGCTGCTGGCTTCTTGAAATAAATCCTTTACTCCTACAAAAAGGAAAAAAAAGGAAATCAAAATCTGCAACTATGAAAGAAAGTTTTGACTCCAAGGAAAAGTTTTAAAAATTCAATAAGTAAACCTAAAATAAAACTAATTATAAGCTTTAAGAAGAAAGGGAGTATTTTTTTTTTTTTTGACAAGGCAGAGATTGACAGCAGTAGTGGACTAGTTACAAAGACATAGAGAAAGGGCCTTCCTTTGCCGTTGGTTCAGCCTCCAATGGCCGCCGCGGCCGGCGCGCTGCGGCCAGCGCACCGCGCTGATCCGATGGCAGGAGCCAGGAGCCAGGTGCTTCTCCTGGTCTCCCATGGGGTGCAGGGCCCAAGCACTTGGGCCATCCTCCACTGCACTCCCTGGCCACAGCAGAGAGCTGGCCTGGAAGAGGGGCAACCGGGACAGAATCTGGCGCCCCCACCGGGACTAGAACCCGGTGTGCCGGCGCCGCAAGGTGGAGGATTAGCCTAGTGAGCCGCGGCGCCGGCCAGAAAAGGATTTTTATCTTAAGGGACTCCATCTGATGCCCTGGGACCACCCTCCGCACTAGATAATTTATAAAAGAATAGAGCCAGTAGCCGAAAAGCACAGGAAAACTGTTCAACTCTATGAATCCTCAGGGAAATGCAATTTTAAGTTGCAACC